CTTAGTCACCAGCTGCATGAGCCCCTAATTAAGTCTCAGCCTTTCCTTAGAAGCTGTGAAGCCAGGCATTGACTTCTCTCTAGCTATGGAAGTCCTGCATGGTGGCATCTTTCAACAAGAAGGCTGTTTTGTCTACATGGCAAACTTTTTGTTTAATCACTTTCATTAATTATCTTAGCTAGATCTTCTGGATAACTTTCTGTAAATTCTCCATCAGCCTTTGCTGGTTTACCTTGTACTTTTCTGTTACGGAGATAGCATCTTTCTTAAACTTCAGGAGCCAACATCTGCCAGTTTCCTACTTTTTTGTGCAGCTTGCTTACCACCTTTCAGCCTTCATAGAATTGAAAAAAGTCAGGGCCTTGCGGTGGATTAGGACAGAAACCACTAAAACTTCTCCATATCAGCAATAAGGCTGTTTTTTGTTCTTATTTTCTTATCACTCCCTGGAATAACACTTTTAATTTCCTAAAGAACTTTTTCCTTTGCATTCACAGCTTGGCCAGTTGGTGAAAGGCGTCTAGCTTCTGGCCTGTCTTGACTTTCAACTCCTCACTAAGCTGAATCGTTTCTAGCTTTTGATTTAAAATGAGAGATGTGTCCTTTCGCCTAAACACTTAGAGGCCACTGTAGGGTTAATAACATCTCATTTCAGTATTGTGTCTCAGGGAATAAGGCCAAAGGAGAGGGAGAGAGATGGGGGAACAGCCATCATTCAATGAGGCACTTAGAACACATACAAAATTTATTAAGTTCACTGTCTGGTGTTTGTGTGGTTCATGGTGCCCCAAAACAATTAATGATAGTAACATCAAAGATGACTGATCACAGGTCATAAAAATATAGTAATAATGAAAAAATTTGAAATATTGTGAGAATTACCAAAATGTGACACAGAAATGCTCAGTGAGCAAATGCTGTTGGGAAAATGGTGCCAATATGCCTGCTTGATGTAGGGTTGCCACGAACCTTCAGTTTGTAAAGAACACAGTATCTGAAGGGAAGCACAATAAAATGAGGTATGCCTGTACAAGTCTGTTTCCAGCTCACTGTTCAGGCAAGGCCAGCCGGTGATGGTGGGTGATACTCTATTCGTGTTTTCCCCTTTTTGGCCTTCAGGATTGTCTCCATTGAGCAGCAGGATGGGGAAGAGTATTGGGGATGGTGAGTGGGAGGTTCTTGTGGTCCTGGTCTGGAAAACGCATACATTGCTCCTGTCCACATTCCATTGGCCAGAATGTTGTCACATGACAGCACCTGACCACAAGGAATGCTGGGAAATGTCTAATTTTTTAGTCCAAGTGGAAAAGGGAAAGGGCTTCTTGACCAACTTGCTCATCTCTAATTCAATTGTATGAACTGTTTTGAAACTTTTTTTTAACCCAATAATTTATTTTGAACCTGTTTCTCTATGTGAAATCTGGTCACCTCCATGTCTGTCCTGTGTGAAGCCCCTACCATCTCTTGGCAGATGTCTTTCTAACTGGTCTCCCTGCCATGATTTCCCACAACAGTCAAAGTGGTCTTTTAAAAACTTACATCAAATGTTGCCGCTCCCCTGCTTGACACTGTCCAGAGATGGTTGGAATAATGCCCGCTTTCCTTGGAGGCTGGTCTCTGACCCTCCTGAGCCACTCCTCTTGCCTCTGGCCTGTCCCTGTCATCCCAGACTTGCAGACCTACCTTTCTTCCCTCCAGGCCTGGGGGCTGGCCGCCATTCCCGCATGGGAGTCCCCACCGCCATTGTCACCTCTTGTCTCCTTCAGGTTCTAGCTCAGATGTCTCCTTTCCATGGAGGCCTCTTCCCACCACTAGTCAGAAATACAGTATCTCCCTCCATCTACCTAGTTGCTCTTATTAGACTGTAATACGGTTGTCAAAGCACTTACCACCATCAGAAATTACCTTGTTTGTTTGCATTATTGATTTATGTTCCGTCTTTCTCCCTTCTAGATTGTGGATTCCATCTTGCTCTCATCTGTACCCCCAGAAAAGTGCCTGGCACATCGTCGATACTTAATAAATGCTATGAGATGAAGGAAGGTCATTAACAGATCTCACGTATTTTTAATGACAATATTGTAGCCCATTGCATGGAATGCCGTGAATATTTATCCTTTTGAGAGATTTTTCCTTTAAATTGGTGACTATCCTTTTAGCTAGTGTTTTGTGTGTTTTGTGCACATACCTGTGTTTAAGATAGATTCCTAGATGAGAATGTTTCGTGAAAGGGGGTGTGTGCAAAAGTTTATGTTGTTTGTTACTATTGCCATTTGCCCTCCGGGTGCCTGCTCTGCTCCCTGTGTAGTGAGTGCCCGGGTACGGTACACTCTCCATAACACTGGAGGGAGGGGCGGAGTGGGGCATCTTATCTGTGTTGCTGTATCCTTAGATCTGAGAACAAGTGTTCATGCTTACGAAATGAAAAAGGAATTTCCTTAACAATTCTAGTTATCCCGTCACTTAAATTTATTTGTATTCACATACATGGTCTCTAATTTTAAGGCATAGAAAAAAGCATATGGAAAGTAGGTCTGCTCAGTGTTTAGAGCGTTCACTCACCTAACATTAACATAAACCTAAGGGAACCCGGGATTTTAGCAGCTGATCCTGTTCCTTAGAATCCAAACACGCTTCGGTTGAGGCCCCACTGAGTTTGTGGAAGGTCCAGGACTCTGCCCTGGATTTTTGAGAATTCCTGGTCTGTGAGACAAAGAGGTGGTTGCTCACCGGAGTTCTTGTCTCCTGCTCTGTGACTTATGACCAACTGTACCTTGGTTTCCATCCTAGACACGGTCCCTTCTTTACCTCTTGCGGGTCAGTCACAAGTGAAAGACCAGGAGTGGGAACAGAAGTGCTTCTCTCCTGGGTTGGCGGTGGAAGCAGTTACTGCTTAGCAGACCCCCTTACTCCTCCTCAGAGGTCCTTTCCCCTTGGCGCTGCCAGACCAGAGTTCCCTGTTAGCCAGCACCGAGGACGCACGCACCCAGAAACTAGCACTTCTCTTTAACAGTATCCACCCTCCGTGCATTCGGAGCATTTGTCCTTGAGGGGATGGGCAAAGATCTGGGATGGGGGAGGCAGGGAGACAGAAAAAATGAGCTCCTCTCCAGCTGTTCCCTGTCCTCATTTCTTCTTTTGAATGATTCCTCGTGTCCTCTCAGGTAATAAAGTCTTAACCCCTTAGCCTGACAGAGAAGGATTTCGCCTTAACCTGTGATTCTCAGGTCGTAGGCTGTGGGCTGTAAGCTTTTTCCACATGAAACCTGAATTCTGCACAGGTGTGTTGCCAAATTCTGACCCATATGTAAAAAATTCTTCCACGGTGGCATTCCTTGAGCTGAGTAAAGAAGTCTGAGAAGTCAGACTATTGATGACAGTGCACAGCCTGCAGTGAGGAACAGAAAAGAGCCTTAGCCTAGACAACGCTGGGGCTGAGAAAAAATCCTTGAGGGCCGGTGGGTGAGGTGAACGTGTGTGAGAGAGGCCAGGCCAGTCAACTGCTGAAAGGAACCACGGGAAGAGCATCTAACCTGGGGGCTTAGGTGCTGGGAGACGCTGTTACATTGAGGTAGGGCTGTGCTTTAATTACTCTGACAGGCCTTACTCTTTTCACGAAGGTGGCCAAACACACTAAAATCCCACCGGACTTGAATGCAGGCTTCATGGGAGAGGGATCATAAGCACACCCAAGCTGAGCGACCTCTTCAGCGTCTTTGTGTCCTCCACTGTGTTTGAGTGTGGGTGTCCGTGTGCACGGTAGACGGCGGAAGGGATGGTTGAATGGTTGGAGGAGCCCCCGCATGGGTCCCGATTGCATGCCTGCATCCCTGTGGCTAGTTGACAAAGGTTCAACCTCCCAGTCTCTCCGTGTGGAATTCCACCCTGTCTTTACATAACCCACAGTCATTGAGATTTTCTTTCTCTTATGTGGGTCTTGACTGTCATAGCACTTCTGGCTTGCCCTCATGTCCCCAAGGCCTCTATCCCTTGTACTTCTCTCCCTCTCCTTGGATAACTTCATTCAGACCTCTAACTGCAGCTCCCAGCTCTATACACTGTTAACTCCCAAGTCTCAACCCAGACGTCTCTCCCATTTATCTATGTAGTCATCTATTTTTCCACCTGGTTATTTCACAGGCACCTTAAACTCCACTTAATCCTCTATTCTGATTTATGTTAATACTTAGTGACCCAAACTGAAAACTTGAGAGTCATCCTGGACTTGGGCCTGCCACCTCCTGAGCCATCTCATCTGTCCTGTATGTCTTAGCCCTTTACTTATCTTCAACTGCCCTTTACATGATGCTGTCACAAGTCCTGTGCTGTTGGTCTGCTGTCACTCTCAGAAGACCCTGAGCCTGTATTTCAAGGCCAAGCTCAATGCCCTGTGCATATGAACTGCCTAGAAAATACTGGAAAGAATGAACATACAGAATGGGTGGATCAATGAATGACTAATTTCTGAGATGGTTTAAGGTACTTTCCATTTAGGGTGATGCTTTTAATTTCTTTGTAGTGGAACTTAGAAATTACTTTTGCTTCTCAGAATTTTGAGGAACTATTTCACCACATTACATTTCTTTTTATTGCAGCCCACACCCACAAATACAGACACTTCACTAGAGGAATCACTTTTTACATTTATGGTACTTGGTTGCATTTAGGCATTTATCTGGATGGTTTCATATGTGTTGTGTGGTTTATCTTCTTGGTACTACTGGGAAGTATTTCCTTTCAATGGCAGAAATAATGGATCAGCACAACCTAGTTTAAATTAAACTTGTGCTTAAGTAAGCTGGATGCTGTACGTTTTTAGGGTCATAGAATTTTAGAGCTGGATTATTGCTTTTGAACTTGCATGTGAGGAAAAATTGTCTATGCTTGAATGGATTTCTGTATCCCGATACTGAACTGATGAGAAGTCATTGATTTTGCATGTTAGATGAAAGTGATCTGATGATGGTCTGCTTATTAAACTTTTTTTCCCCCTCCAACAGGGAGAGTCGCGTATTCTCAGAGTGAAGGTTGTTTCTGGAATTGATCTCGCCAAAAAGGACATCTTTGGAGCCAGGTATGTTGCTTTGTGGCCTCCCTCCCTCTTCTGAAGAGTCTGGCAAGCACTCAAATTCAGGCATGCATCAGAATCACCTGGAGGCCTTCTTCAAACAAAGGTGGCTGGGCCCGATCTCCGGAGCTTCTGATTGAGCGGGTGATGCCAATGCGGCTGGTCCAGGGCCCAGGTTTTGTGCAGGACCTTGTATCGCAACAGTGGTTAGCCGTCTTGTTCTTCATGTGGGTTGATTTCACGAGGAAACTAGATTCTGACGTTTTGGGTTTTTAATTTAAACATTTGCATGCTGACTAGTAGATTGTGCTCTTAGGTCAAAAATGCCTGTGGCTCTCATTTACTCTTCTCAGTGAATTTTATAGTTTTGAAGAAAGAGGTTGGCTTTGGGAGATTGCAATGGTTTTTATTTCGATTGTTTTATCTAAAATCCTTCATAAAGAAATGAAATGGATTCAGCTGGTATTTCTCAGCGTGTTAAGAAGATGTGAAGTTAAAACTGATAGTGGGGTCAAACCTTAAAAAGCCGAGAAATCTGAGCCTTGAATTTTTACTTTTTATATGAAAAGAGGAGGAGGGTCATTTCTTAGGGATAGGGTAAAAAGGAATTACAGGTAATACCTCAAGATGTTCATCAGAAAGGTAAGTGTTGTGGCTCATGGACTCAGCCTACACCCTTCTCCCTGCCCGCCCCTCCTTCCCTCCCCACCTCCCTCAGGGGTCAGCTCTCTCTGAAGGGCCGTAGTTCTTTAAGGCCCTGTTTGCCGATGTCTGAGCTAATCTAGGAGCAGGCAACTGCGAAGGCAGCCAGGTTGGCATTTCACTCTAGAGTGGCACCGTTACCGTTTGTCACCTTTTTTATTTTGCCCAGTGACCTGCATCCTCCATGGCACCTTGGGCAGATCTGTTTGGATGCCCTCTGTCCCCATATGTTAGTACAAACCAAGGATAACTGTTTCCTCGGGACGGGCATGCCGGAGCCAGGAGGACCCCAGGCGACTCCGGCACCCCCTGAGTTGTGAGGTAGCCAGCACACACCGGGGTGTGCTGGATGAGAGCCTTCTCTGGGTCCTCCTCATCCCCAGGCCTGCATGTGCCCCCTCGCCCCAAGCCGGTCACTGAGTATTTCCTCCACCTCTGTCCTTGTTCTCTCATCACAGGAAGAGCTGGGGGGACCTGGAGCCCAGGTGTAGAGAGGAGAATGGGTGGGGGACGGGGGTCTGTGTTCATGAGCGGCATTTTCAGAACTGCAGAGAGGTAGAATCGGAGCCTTGGATGTGTTGAAAGGTTGGACTTATGGTCCCCGAGTTCCTTCCTCTTTGTCTCCAAGGGAGGCTGCCTGGGTCACCCGGCCTGAGGTGGGTGAGGGCTGGTAGTTGCGGGGTAATGGCAGGGGCCGGGTGTGGTAGTCAGGGTGGTGGTGACTGGAGGGGTGGGCTCCTTGCCCCTCAGAGGACTGGAGTTGGTGGGGCCCTGGCCCCCGGGCCTCCCTCTCAGGTGGAGTGGCCAGGTCACTGTTCAGAGGCCGGCACCTGAAATGCCCTTCTTTTCTGCTCTCTCTGTCTGAGTCCTGCGTCCAGAATACAAGATTGTTTTCCACCTTCCTTCCAGCAAAGTCTAACTTTATTAAAAGGCCCTTTGATCAGAGAAGAGCTGATCATTGAGCTGAGGCTGCCCTTCCACATTTGAACAGTTGGTCTGTGTGGAAAATGGCAGGAGGAGAGAAGGGTGGTTTCTCCTGGACTGTACCTTCAGGTCGGAGGACAGTCATATAATCTCCCATCTAAGTAAGGACGCTTTTGTCTGGAACAAATGTTAAATCAAATGGAATGTGAGGGCATACGAATGGAGATTCTGATTATGGTCACCTAACGTCAAAGACATCCAATCTTTATGATGCATATATATTATGGAAAAAACACTACGTGATTTTTTTAAGTTTTTTTTTTTTTAAAGCAGAGCAAAATAAAACCTCTTACGAAGGAGACCATGTGTAACTGCCAACAAAACATCAAAAGAGAAGTAAAGCTACGTTAGAAACATGGCCTATGTAGGGTACCCACTTCTTCCACTTTGGAAATGGGTCGGTCACTATTCTTCATGAGGTAAAGCGTGCGGTGGATCAAGAACACCGTTACCTGGGAAGTTCCCCTTGCACCTGGCCTGGACGGCTGCGCCTCAGTGTGTGCGGATGGCCTGTGGCATTAGCCCTCTGGAGGGACACACCAAGATCCCACCCTGCTCTGGCGTGGTTTTGCTAAGGCCATGGACCTAAAGTAGGTAACTCTGACTTGCATGCTTTGATCTGCATTTGCCTGTGGAGTAAAGCCCCAGGCTCCTGTTAGGGTGGAGGACTGAGCCCCCCTGTGAGGGGGCGTGCCAAGCCCTGGGGTCTGGTTTGCCTCCCACACTAGCTGCACCCCTGGGCGCTGCCTGCAGCAGACGCTCTCCCTGCACACAGCACACCCTCTCTGCAGCCCCCTGTCTAGAGGCTGCACCCCTGCCATAGCCTCACCAGAATCCTGGGGCCTCCTGCTCCTTGCCCTCTCACTCGCCCAGCCCAGAGTCATCAGCTCTGGAGCACAGGGGCCGCCTCCCAGTCCCCAGCCCATCACCTCGTTTCTCTGATGGGAGAAGTACCGGATAGAGCTGTCATTGTAACTGTTTCTCCCAAACCAGGTATTTAGCTTCATATGGCTAGAATTATATACATATTTTTGTTCTTCCTGCCTTACACAGTACCTAGCACACAGTACATTCTCAAGAGAGATTTGCTGATAGACTGGATGTACCGGGTCCCAGTGATCACCGTGCCTCCTTTCTTCCCCTTCAGCGTTCTCCCGCTGTGCCATAGAGGGTGCTGCCTCTTGCCTTTGCTTAGTTCCCCTCTGTGTCTGCGCACATCCTTTCTGGCACTGCTTGCTCATCCATCCCTCCAGGCCCAGTTCAGGGGGGCAACCCTTGTGCCGAGCTCCTCACCCCTTCCCCCAGCCCTGCACAGGAGGACAAACAGCTCTTGTCCCCTGTCAGGTTATGCAAGATTCTCCCCCCAGCCCCTTTCTCAGCAGCATTGTTAAAGTCCGAGGCTATGGTCCTGTCTTCTGCTGTTTGTAAGCCCAGAGTTCTCGGCACATGGCAATTGCCCGGTAAATGGACTTGAACTCCATGAGTGGAATTTAATTATGGTATGTTGTGGCACAGGGCTGCCAGCCTGGAGGAAGTGGCACATCTTTCTAATTCTCACAGATGCGCTATTAATTTGATCAGACATCTCCCTCACCCTCACCTTGCCAACAGGGGAGGTGATTTTGCAATTCCTACAAAGGCTCCCTGTGGACCAGCAAAGGAGGCCTGCGTAGGCCCTGGGTGAGGGGAGCGTGAGGTGGGGTCAGGTGGAGCCAGCGCGAAGGCTGGTGTCAGCGAAGAATCTCAGGGAACCATGGAAAGGCAGGCAGGGAAGGTTTCTGTGTGCTGCTGGTGTTTGTGTAACATTACTACTTCAAAGCCCACAGAAGGAACGTGTCTTGTGATGGTGGAACCGGAAACTTCTACTTAGGGGTGCATGAGGCCAAGCTGGGGCTGTGAGGGGAGGTCAAAACCCTGTCCCAGCCCCTGAGCGTTAAGGTCAGGATGGAGCCAGGGACCCAAGTCACAGGCCAGGGAGCATACAGGCGCTTGTATTGGATGGCAGCAGACCAAGTTCTTAGAATTTCGAGTGAGTATCATAGAGTGATTAGATTTACAATAGGTGTACTTTGCTAATAAGTAAAATCTTAGTTTGTTTTTAACTTAGAATATCTTCAAGTGTCAAAGTGTATTCTTTAAAGTTTTATTTCAAGACATTACCTTGTCCTGAGCTTAAGCACAATGGCATAGGGTCATTTTAATATAAGTCTTAGATTCCCCTCTTTTCCCCCTTAATTATGATTTGAGGCTTCACTTGAGGTTACTTAGAATGCATTTGAGACTGTAATGCTGCTCCTTAAAATGGAGCAATTTTGCTAAGACACAGCAATTCTAGAACTTCAAGCTTTGTACAGAAGATTGCAGGACCTAATTTCACAGTTGCTTCTTTATTTTGTGTGTTTGAGCTGTTAGCTTCAAGTTATACCTATTTGGGAATTGCCTTCATTTTTTTCATTTGGCAGCTGGTGATTCGAAATTTAAAACACACACAGACTAGAGGGCATTGGAGGAATGTGGACCAAAACCTTTTTATCTCCTAGTAATCGGAACTGGTAAGGACTTCATGCCACATAATGATGATTCTGCGGCACTAGCCCACCTCTCTCCTCGTTATCTAGATTTAAGTTGTTAACATTTTCTGTATTTGCTTTATCTGCTTTTTTCTATTGAAGTATTCAAAAGTAAATTACAGACATGGTGACAGTTAACCCCTACGTACTTCAGCCCAAATCTCTAAAACACAAGAACCACAATATGTTTTTGACAAAATTAACAGTGATTGCCTAGTGGACTCAAGTATCTAGTGCCTTATCTGAGTTCCCTCAGCTGTCCTTCAAATGCCTTTTACAATTGTTAAAACCAGAATTCAGTTGAGAATCACGTAGTGCGTTTCTTTGTTAGGCCTCTTAAGACTCTGTTGATCCAGAACCATTCTCTTCTGTCCCTCTTTTTAAATGACCTTGAATTGTCAGGTTGTCTGACCACATGTGATTGTTTCCTGTGGTATCACTTAATGTGTTCTTTCTCCTGGGGTGCCTGTATATTGAATGTTGGATCCAAAGGTTTATCAAATTCAGTTAAACACTGGAGACATGAATAGAGAAGCTGTTTGCCCAGGAGGGACACAATGTCTGGTCATCTCATAACCAGTCATGCTAAAATTGATCCTAGGTTAATGTGGGGCCGGTCTGTCCCCTCCATTGTCAAATTACATTTTCCCCCAGGTGACCAGCAAGAAATAGGTAAGGTGATGTTTTGGCTATATGAGCTCTCAGGGGCAGGGATTTTAAACAATATCGTTTGGCCCAGAGGCCGTTAATGTTGATGCCGTGACTCTCAGTGATGCCCAAGATCACCACGGCTGCTCTAACAGGCCTCCAGAGAGGGACAGACAATGCACAGAGCCTGCAGCTGACAAACACTATCTGGGCAGAGTGTCAGGTACTCTGCACCTGCATAGGCATACAAATTTTAAATATTAGAAATTGTGGCCTGTTCAGGTTTTTTGTTTTTGTTTTTGAAAGCTGTTGCACAAAATCAGTCTCCTCTTAGGAATGGAGGAGGCTGGAGGCTGGAGGTTGAACTGGGTACCTTAAGAGCCCCCCCCACCCCCCACCCCACTGGCCCATAAGTGCTTCCTTGCCAGAGGCAGCAAACAGCTGGTCGGTCTCTGGACTAGACTGAACTCACAGGCATGTTCATTTGGTCTGTGGTACAATAAAGAAAGAAAAATACCTAATATTTGGGAGATTTCACATTAAAAATCTAGATCTCCAGGCTTCTAGAAAATATTGGTGATCTAGACACACTGGGCCCGCGTCTGTGCAAGGCTATGTGGCCAGAGGTGTCTGCTGGATATGCCCTTTGGGTGGGGCCACTGAGGACCCCACTCCTCTGTTGTATTTATATATAGTTGGCCTCCCCCACTGAGAGGGTCCTGAGGCCTCTTGAGGACTGGCCTGTGTTTGGCTCCTACCCCTGCACCTGGTGGTGCTTGGCCCATAGAGCTGACTCCCTTGCCCCTCCCCCACAGCACACTCACCTGCCTACGCAGGTGCAGAGTACCTGACCCTCTGCCCAGATAGTGTTTGTCGGCTGCAAGCTCTGTGCAGTGTCTGTCCCTCTCTGGAGGCCTGTTGGAGCAGCCATGGTCATCTTGGGCATCGCTGAGAGTCATGGCATCAACACTATTGGCCTCTGGGTCAAATGATATTGTTTTAAAATCCCTGCCCCTGAGAGCTCATACAATTACTCATGTGAGAGCTCCCCAAGAACCTGATTATTCTAATTGTGTTCTTCTCCAGCCCCCAAACCCTGAAATAAAATGAAACCATCTTCCCCCAAATGAAACCTCTTCTAATTCTGTATCAGCCACACAGCTCTATCTATCTATCTATCTATCTATCTATCTATCTATCTATCTATCTATCTATCTATCTATCTTTGTTTTTTTGCACATGGTATGTGTGGGGTCATGGGGAAGACAGTGTAGCACAGAGAAGACAAGTAGGGACTCTGTGGCATCTTACTACACTGATGGACAGTGACTGCAATGGGGTGTGGGGGGGACTTGGTGATGGGGGGAGTCTAGTAACCATAATGTCACTCATGTAATTGTAGATTAATGATACCAATTAAAAAAATGTTGCTCTCTAACATCTATATTTTTTGAAGGTTGGTCATGCAGCAGGCATTGCTCGTCACTGGAAAACCAAAGATGAATTAATTTAAGCTTCTTGCCTTCTAGGAGGTCATAAGGTACTTCTTTGGGAGAAGTGTCTGTTCAGATCCTCTGCCTATTTTTTAATCAGGTTATTTGCTTTTTGGCTGTTGAGGTGTGTGCGTTCTTTATATATTTTGGATGTTAATCCCTTTTTGGATACATCATTTACGAATATATTCTCCCATACTGTAGGATGCCTTTTTGTTCTACTGATGGTGTCCTTTGCTGTACAGAAGCTTTTTAGTTTGATGTAGTCCCATGTGTTCATTTTTGCTTTTCTTTCCCTTGCCTGAAGAGATGTGTTCATGAAAAAGTTGCTCATGTTTATATTTAAGATATTTTCACTTATGTTTTCTTCTAAGAGTTTTATGGTTTCATGACTTACGTTCAGGTCTTTGATCCATTTTGAGTTTAATTTTGTATATGGAGTTAGATAATAATCCTGTTTCATTGTCTTACATGTAGCTGTCCAGTTTTGCCAACACCAGTTGTTGAAAAGGCTGTCATTTCCCCATTTCCATACCTTCTTTATTGTATATTAATTGACCATATATGCTTGGGTTTATATCAGGGCTCTGTATTCTGTTCCATTGACCTATGGGTATGTTCTTGTGCCAAATTGTCTTAATTACTGTGACTTTGTCATAGAGCTTGAAGTTGGGGAGTGTAATCCCCCAGCTTTATTTTTCCTTCTTAGGGTTGCTTTGGCTATTCAGGGTCTTTTTTGGTTCCATATGAAGTTTACAACTATTTGTTCTAGTTTGTTGAAGAATACTGTCAGTATTTTGATAGGGATTGCATTGAATCTGTAGATTGCTTTAGGCAGGACAGCCATTTTGACAATATTAATTCTTCCTATCCATGAGCATGGGATGTATTTCCAATTTTGGTGTCTTCTTTAATTTCTTTCATGAGTGTCTTGCAGTTCTCAGGGTATAGGTCTTTCACCTCCTTGGTTAGCTTTATTCCTAGGTATTTTATTCATTCTGATACAATTGTAAATGGAATTGTTTTCCTGATTTCTCTTTCTGCTAGTTTATCATTAGTGTATAGGAATGCAACAGATTTCTGTGTGTTAATTTTGTATCCTGCAACTTTGCTGAATTCAGTTATTTTAGTAGTTTTGGGATGGATTCTTTAGGGTTTTCTATGTACAATGTCATGTCATCTGCAAATACTGACAGTTTAACTTCTTCCTTTCCAGTCTGGATGCCTTTTATTTCTTTGTGTTGTCTAATTGCCATAGCTATGGCCTCCAACTATGTTGAATAAAAGTGGGGAGATTGGGCATCCTTGTCTGGTTCCCAATCTTAAAGGAAAAGCTTTTTGCAGTTAAGTATGATGTTGGCTGTGGGTTTGTCATATATGGCCTTTATTATGTTGAGGGACTTGGCCTTTATACCCATTTTGTTGAGAGTTTTTATCATGAATAGATGTTCAATTTTGTCAAATATTTTTTCAGCATCTGTTGAGATGGTCATATGATTTTTGTCCTCCTTTTTGTTGATGGGGTGTATGATGATGGATTTTTGAATATTGTACCATCCTTGCATCCGTGTAATAAATCCCACTTGATCATGATGGATGATCTTTTTGATGTATTTTTGAATTTGGTTTGCTAATATTTTGAGTATTTTTGCATTTATGCTCATCAGGGATATTGGTGTTATTTTCTATTTTTCTGATATCTTTGCCTGGTTTTGGTATTAGAGTGATACTGGCCTCATAGAATGAGTTTGGAAATATTCTCTTCTACTTTTTGGAAAACTTTAAGGCGTAATGGGTATTAGATCTTCTCTAAATGTTTTGTAAGTTCAGCAGTGAAGCCATCTGGTCCTGGGGTTTTGTTCTTAAGTAGTTTTTTTGATTACCAGTTCAATTTCATTGCTCGTAGTTGGTCTGTTCAGATTTTCTGTTTCTTCCTGGGTAAGTCTTGGAAGGCTATATTTTTTGAGAAAGTTGTCCATTTCTTCTAGGTTATCCAGTTTGTTACCATATAATTTTTTATAGTATTCTCTAATAATTCTTTGTATTTCTGTGATGTCCATACTGATTTTTTCATTCTCATTTCTGATTCTGTTTATGTGTGTAGACTCTTTTTTCTTGATAAATCTGGCTAAGGATTTATCTATTTTGTTTATTTTCTCGAAGAACCATATCCTAGTTTCATTGATTCTTTCTGTTGTATAGTTTTATTCTTCTCAATTTTATTTATTTATTTTCTGATCTTTATTATGCCCCTCCTTCTGCTGACTTTGGGCTCCTTTGTTTTTCTTTTTCTAGTTTCATTAACTGAAGTTTAGACTGTTCATTTGGGATTGTTCTTCTTTCTTGAGGTAAGCCTGTATTGCAATATAATTCCTTCTTAGCACGGCCTTTGCTGCATCCCACAGATTTTGGGTCATTGAGTTGTTTTCATTTTTCTCCATATATTGCTCAATCTGTATTTTTATGTGATCATTGATTCATTGATTATTTAGGAGCATGTTGTTAAGCCTCCATGTGTTTGTGGTCTTTTTGTTTTCTTTGCATAATTTATTTCTAGTTTCATACCTTTGTGGTCTGAGAAGCTGGTTGGTACAATTTCAATCCTTCTGAATTTACTGAGGCTCTTTTTGTGGCCTAGTATATGATCTATTCTTGAAAATGTTCCATGTGCACTTGAGAAGAATGTATCCTGCTGCTTTTGGGTGGAGTGTTCTGTAGATGTCTGTTAGGTCCATCTGTTCTAATGTGTTGTTCAGTGCGTCTGTTTCCTTATTTTTCTGTCTGGTGGATCTGTCCTTTGGAGTGAGTGGTGTGTTGAAGTCTCCTA